AATCTGCTATTATTAACTGGTACACCTAGTAAAGCCAATTAGTATTTAACAAAGATGGCAAAAACATACAATGAGATAAAAATAATTTTTTTTAAATAAAATATATTTTATTGATTTTGTACAGAGAGGAAGGGAGAGAGAGAGTTAGAAACATCGATGAGAGAGAGTCATCGATCAGCTGCCTCCTGCACACCCCCTACTGGGGATATGCCCGCAACCAAGGTACATGCCCTTGACGGGAATCGAACCTGGGACCTTTCAGTCCCCAAGCCGACGCTCTACCCACTGAGCCAAACCGGTTCTGGCAATGAGATAAAAATAATTTATTCAACAAATGACGCTGGGAATATTGGACAGATACATGCAGAAAATGAAACTAGACCAACTTTTTACACCATAGAATAAACTCAAAATAGATTAAAGATTTAAATGTTAGACTTTTAAAACCATAAAAATCCTAGAAAAAAACACAAGCAGTAAAATATCGAACATTTCTTGTAGCATTATTTTTTTCTGATGTATCTTCTTGGGCAAGGACAACAAAGGAAAAATAAGCAAACGGGATTATATCAAACTAAAAAGTTTTTGTACAGCAAAGTAAACAATCAACAAAATAAAAAGACAACCTGCTGAGTGGGAGAACATATTTGCCAATGATACATCTGATAAGGGGCTAATATCCAACATTTATAAATAACTTATATAGCCCAACACCAAAAACCCAAATAATCCAATTAAAAAATGGGCAAAGGATCTAAATAGACACTTCTCCAAAGAGGACATACAGATGGACAATAAACATGAAGATACTTAATGTCACTAGTTATCAGAGAGATTCAGATTTAAACCACAATGAGATTCACCTCACACTTGTCGGAATGGCTATCATCAACAAATCAACAAACAACAAATGTTGGCGAGATTGTGGAGAAAAGGGAATCCTTGTGCACTGCCGGTGGGAATGCAGACTGGTGTAGTCACTGTGGAGAGCAGTATGGAATTACTCAAAAAACTAAAAATGGAACTGCCTTATGACCCTGTGATTACACTACTAGGAATTTATCCAAGAAAACCTGAAACATCAGTTTGAAAGAATATGTGCACCCTTATATTACTTGCAGCATTTACAACAGCCAAGATTTGGAAATAGCCCAGGTGTTCATCAGTAGATGATTGGATAAAAAAGCTGTGGTACATTTATACCATAGAATACCACTTGGCCACAAAAAAGAAGGAAATCTTACCTTTGCAACAGTATGGATGGGTCTGAGAGTACCCTGTTTCCCCGAAAATAAGACAGTGTCTTCTATTAATTTTTTCTCCCAAAGTTGCGCTAGGTCTTATTTTTAGGGGATGTCTCATCTTTCCATGCGCTAGGTCTTATTTTCGGGGAAATACGGTATTATACAAGATGAAACAAGCCAGTCAGAGAAAGACAAGTACCATGTGATTTCACTCATATGTGGAATCTAATGAACAAAATGAACTAACAAGCAAACAGAGACAGGTTCATAGAGAGCAGGTTGGTGTTTGGGGGTGGGGGTGGGGGTGGTTGAGGAATTGAGCAAAAAAGCAAAAGGATAAAACACTCATGGATATGGGCAATAGTGTGGTGATTGTGGGCTATGGTGGAGAGGGGGTTGTTGGGAGAAAGTGGAGAAGGTATGGGGATAAATGGTGAGGGACTTGATTTAAGGTGGTGAACACGCAGTATACCGTATAGATGATATATGCATGTGAAACCTGTATAATATTGTTATCTAGTCACCCCAATAAACTCCATAAAAAGAAAGAAAGAAAAAAAAAGACAGGTTCTCATTATCAGTCAGTGAGACTATAAGTTGGTGTTTTTGGGAATATAAATTTTTTTTCCCTTTGGGAATATAATTTGCATGAAAAGCTTTAAAACAACCAAATTTAGAAATCAATCCTAATAAAATACTATGGAATACATACAGATGTTTGCTGTTATTTGTAAACTGGAAAAACAACAACCACCCTAAATAGACACCCAATAAGGGGTGACTAAATTAAGATTTATCTTATGAGACTATTTAAAAGGATATATACTAGTACTTATTAATATGGGTAAATGTTTAAATTGTAAGTTTCATAAGGACATGATCCTTATTAGCTTATTTTTACTATTTATTCCTAGGGAATAGCATAAGGCCTAGCATATATATATATATACACACACACACACACACACACACATATATATATATATATATATATGTATATATATATATATTTAAAGGAGTTAACTTTTTAAAAAAATATATTTTATTGATTTTACACAGAGAGGAATTGAGAGGGACAGAGAGCCAGAAACATCGATGAGAGAGAATCATCGATCAGCTGCCTCTTGCACCCCCCGCCCCCACTGGGGATGTGCCTGCAACCAAGGTACATGCCCTTGACGGAAATCGAACCCAGGACCTTTCAGTCCGCAGGCTGACACTCTATCCACTGAACCAAACCGGTTTTGGCTATATTTTTTAATTAAAATATTTTAAAATTAAAAATTTATTTTTTAAAAAATTGTTTTAGGTTTACAGCAAAATTAAGGGAAAGGTATAGAGATTTTCCTTCCCATTTACCCTCTGTCTCCACATATACATAGCCTTCTCCGTTATCAACATTTCCCATCAGAGTGTTACATTTGTTACAACTGATAAACCTCCATCATTACCACCCAAAGCCCATAGTTCACATTAGAGTTTACTCCTGGTGTTGTATATTGCATGGGTTTGGACAATATATAATGACATATATTCATCATTAAAATTTCATACAGCCAAAACCAGTTTGGCTCAGTGTATAGAGCATTGGCCTGCTAACTGAGGGGTCCCGGATTCGATTCTGGTCAAGGGCATGTGCCTTGGTTGTGGGCACATCCCCAGTGGGGGGTGTGCAGGAGGCAGCTGATTGATGATTCTCTCTCATCGATGTTTCTAACTCTCTATCCCTCTCGGTAAAAAATCAATAAAATATATTAAAAACAAAACAAAAAAACTTCGTACAGTATTTTCATTGCCCTAAAAAAATCCTCTGTGCTCCACCTATTCATCTTTCCTCCCATCTCAACCCCTGCAAAACGATCCTTTTACTGAATTTCATTTTTGCCTTTTCCAGATTATCATTTCATTGGAATCATACACTGTGTAGCCTTTTCACTTAGTAATATGCATTTAGGGTTCCTCTATGCCTTTTCATGGCTTGACAGTTCATTTCTCTTAGAATAGTCCATTGCCTGGATGTATTATTTTGTCTATTGAAGAATATCTTAATTGCTTCCAAGTTTTGGCAATTATAAATAAGTTGCTATAAACTCTTGTGTGCAGGTTTTTGCATGGATATGCTTTCAACTCCTTTGTGTAAATAAATATCAAGTAGGGTAATTGTTTGATAGTTTGGTGAGAGTAGAACTTAGAGTTTAGTCTTCTAAGAAACTGCCAAATTAACTGCCTTCCAGAGTGCCTGAACCATTTTATATTCCTACTCTTAATAAATAAGAGTTCCTGTTGCTCTACATCTTTACCAGCATTTGGTGTCAGTGCTCCAGATTTTGGCCATTCTAAGTGTAGTACAGATGCATTTTTATTAAATACTAGAAACCTGGTGCACGAAATTCACGCACGAGGTGGTGTGTGTGTGTATGTGTGTGTGTGTGTGTGTGTGAAGGGGAGATATCCCTCAGCCCGGCCTGCACCCTCTTGCATTGGGGGGATGTCCAACTGCAGGCAGTTGGACAGCCTCTCAAAATCCAGGATTGCTGGCTACTAACCACTTGCCTGCCTGATCACCCCTAACCACTCTGTCTGATTGCCCCTAACCTCCTCTGTCTTGCCCCTGCTGCCACGGCTTCCTCCAGAAGGATGTCCAGGTCATTCAACTGTCTGGTCTAATTAGCATGTTACGCTTTTATTATTATAGATTTGGTAAATGAATGAAAAATGTTCAGTGAAAAATATAAAATTATATAAAATTATATTATTTCTGTGAAAAATCTGTATATCAAAAGAACTGGAATGACACACCATGAAATGGGAAAAAGAGGTTGTGAGCATTTGTTAAGAACAGCTTTATTGAGATAAAATTTTACATACCATAAAAATTCACCCATTGTATATGTATAGTTCAACTACATTTATACATTGTGCAATTATTGCCATAATCCAGGATCATTGTCTCATTCCACCTTTTGTTTGGTAAAGGAGGACTTATTTTTTGGAAGTCCCCTTCCCTGAAAGTTGGGTGATGTTGAACTATAGAATCTTAATACATAAAAAGCTAGGGGCCGACACAACTGAATGACTGAACAGCAGGCTGTGTGGGATGACCAGGCCAGAGGGTGGGGGGCAATTGGGGGCAACCAAGTCGGCAGCGGGGACACTAGGGGACGACTAGGCCGGCAGGGGGAGGGCAGTTAGGGGCGAGCAGGCAGGCAGGCAGGTGAGCAGTTAGAAGTCAGTGGTCCCGGATTGTGAGAGGGATCCTGGATGGGAGAGGGTGCAGGCTAGGCTGAGGGGACCGCCCCTCCCGTGTGCAAATTTTGTGCACCAGGCTCTAGTTATCTATAAAGATCTCAGAGTTGAGCAGGCATGCTATAACTAGATTCTGTTTCGTGTACTATAGTAGGATCATTATTCTTGGTCCTTCTGCAAATAAAAAGGTTCCACAGAATAATGAGTACAGTCACATTTTCCACAGGAAATGTAAGTATTGAATGGAGTCAAATGTGAGCAGTTCCCTTGTGAGTAATCTTGCTAGCAGAGCACGAAGCTGAGGAAGACCCCCAACCAATCTGGGAAACTGGACGCTACACCCCTGGGCTGGAGCCACCGGTTCCCCGTAAAGCGCCAAGGAAAGGGCCTTTGGAGTATATTTGGTTCACTCTCTACAACAGAGACTGCTCCGGGGAAAAGCCGACGGAGCTCTGTGAGCGCTTACACATCCTTCCCAGCCCCAGGCCCGCGCCGCCGGCAGCCTCCTACCTGCGGAGAAGCAGAGCAGGAACAGCCGGCGCCCCAGGCGGGCCAGGCCCAGCAGAGTCGGGGCAAAGAACATGGCTTCGTCGTCGGGGTGCGCGATCACCAGGAGGGCCCGGCCTCCTCTTCCCGGCAGGCCAGCCTGCACCTGAAGCTTCATTCGTCCCAACAAGTGCCAAACCCAGAAGATGCCCGGCGCTAGGATGGCCGCCGCCCAGCACAGCGCGCCCGCCGCCTCCATGCCGGGCCGGCACGGCGCCTGCGTGCGGGCCGGTGCCGCGCGCCGCTCCGGGGGGAAGCGCGCCCCGCGGGACTGCGTTCCGGGCGGAGGTCCGTCCGCCGCGCCGCCCCCAGAGCGGGGCCTCACTGCCGGCGCCGGCCTGCACTTCCCGGTTCTCTGCTTTCGGGGGCGTTTCCGAGGCCGGTGACAGCTCGGAACCGAACCCCTTCCTGTCCGTGCTGCCCCGGTCCGCGCACTCCCACGGTTCCGCCGTCAGCGAGGCCGAGGGCGCGCTCCGCTGGCCCGGCCCGGGCTGACACCGGGACACCCAGGCGCCGCGTGTTCCAGGGCAGCTCGGCGCCACCGCCGCGGAGCCCGGGAAGCGCCGGGTAGGTGGACGCACCCCCGCCGGCCTGCGGGCACCGCTCCCCGGGCCCGCGCTCGCGCCCCGCGTTCCGCCGCGCCCGGGAGGGTCGCGGGGCTGGGCTGGGCCTCACGGCCGCCCTCCTCACGCCGGGGAGGCCCGAGTGCGGGGAGCCGGCGCTCGCGGGGGCGCCCCGGGCAGCGGCGATGGCGGCGCCGGGCCCTGTCAGGCACGGAGCTGCCGGGCTTGTTCCGGGGGAGGCGCCGCCGCCGCCAGGCCGAGGCGGGACGAGGGGACCGGGCGCGGGCGACCTAGGAAGCTCGGCGATGTGGGCGCCGGGCCCGCCGGCGGAGGGAGTCTGCCCGCCGACCTTCCGGAAGGAGGAGGAGCCGGCGCGGAGCCGCCTGAGCGCGGCCGCCCGGCTGGGGGAGGGAGCGGGGTTGAGGCAAGATGGCGGCCAAGGTGGCGAAGCAGCGGCGGCGGCTGGAGTGAGCGCCCGGCTCGCCGCGCCGAGCGAGGTACCGAGGCAGCGACCCGCGCTGGGGCCGCGTCCCGCCGCTCAGGCCCGGGGCGCGCCGGCCGCCCGCCCGCCAGCTCCGGTGAGTGGCCGCGGCTTCCGGCCGCCGCTCGTCCCGGCGCTTCCGAGGCGCTCAGGGCAGCGGCCGCGGGGGTGGCGGCCCGCGGGGCGAGGGCCGCGGCGGACCCGCAGGTGGGGACCCGCCCGGCCGCCGGCCCCTTCTCCTCGGCCGCCCCGTTCGGGCGGCGGAGGCGGCGGAGTCGGAGGAAGACGGGCGCGGCGGCCGGCGGCGGGAGGGGCGTGCGGGCCGGGGCCGGGCCGCGCGGGCCCCGCTCGCTCACTCGGAGGCGGAGGCGGTGGCCGCCGGGGGAGGGAAGGTTCGGGAGGTGACAGCGAAGGACTGGCGCGTGAAGAGCAAACTAGTTCGCCTTTCTCACCAAATCTCCCTGGGGAGTAATGGCGAAGGGTGGGTCGTGGTGGAGATGGCAAAGATGGGAATTCTGTACCTCCTGCCTCTTCTATTGGCTTTCAGGTGCGAAGCCGTGAATTCTCTTTGCCGGGGGTAAGAGGGATTTGAGAAACAGTAATTGAGAAATCAGCCTTCATGGAGAGGAAGCTGAATTTGAATTCTTCGAATGAACTGGACTAGGTATAGTCGAGGAGTAAAGGTGTGGGTGGGTGGGAATAAGTGCTGTCTTTGAAACGTCAGTTTTATGGATGCTTAGGCAGTTAACCTTGGAGAGTAGAGTGCTATCGGTGATTCTAATCTTTGGGATTAGCATATTCACCTGCATCAGATTTGCTTCCTTAATCTTGTTCCAATTTTGAAATTTACATTCCTTGTGTTTACCCTGGCGAGGTAATGCTGGGAGGTGGAACATTGTGCAAAGAGCAACAGGCCTGGGATTTAAAAATGCCAACAAAGTATTCATTCATTCGTTCAGTCTATCTTGATTGGTAGCTCCTGCTGGTGGTCACAATGTGATTGTCCCTTGGATAACTGAAGAGTTGGTGGCATTATTTAATTTTTAATGTTTCCCCCCCAAAAAAACGTTTTCGTGTACTTTTTCACAAAGTTATTTATCGGAGAAATCAACTTGCTGGGGCTAGGAGTAGCCCAATTTTAGAATCTTATGTCTAAATAGGTAAAAATTATGGAAGAAGTAACCACAAATTGTTGGAAAAAGAAATACTGTATTTTCTTATTTTGTTAAAATCCAGTAGAAGATTATTTTAATATTTATAGTACACAGTTGCTTTGCCTTGTTTTAAGCACACCTGTTACTGGAAATCAAGATTAACATGTACATGTAAATAATATGCACATATATAAGGATATGATTACTTGCAATATTAAAATAAAACACTATTTTCTTTTACAAAAGGCTTGCCATATGTTGAACTACTCCCCCAAGAAAATATAATACAAAGAGTCCTGGTTCTTCCTTTAATGAAATTGTGACATTTTGGCATATGATCAACCTTTCTGTGCTTCAGTTTCTTCACCTATGATAGAAGAAAATATCTCTCCCAGGGTTGGCTGTTGTGAGCCTAAGAAAGTTAATAGTTATGAAATAATTTTAAATAGGTTGAGAGGGTTATATTTCTGTGAGGTAGTAATAGCTCCCTCTGCCCTTGTGAAATGCTTTATTTGCACATCTCATGGCATTTACACTTTCTACCTTATATTTAGCTTTTTATTACCTGTCTTATCTCCTCTGGAGGGAAGGACAGACCCTTCTCTGATTTTATCCTTAAGTTTATGGCAGATTTAAAGATAAAATCAGAGGACTTCATTTTCTGTGTAGAATATTGATACTGCAATATTTATTAAATGAATAAACATTGCATTCTAATTAGAAAAATGGATTCACATTACAACTTATCCAAATACACTTGTTACTTCTGGTGTAACATTCTCTGAGATATCCATTTATCTATATAAAAGCCTAATATACGAATTGTCCCTTTGGAGTTTGAGAGACCCAAGAGTTTGATCGCTTGCCATGATGTACGCAGCGAGGAACAAAGGAAAGTCCTGGCCAGCAGCTGGCAGCTGGAGAAGGAAGGCCACGGCCAGCAGGTGAAAGGCTTCAATCAGCCCTGACTGCTGGCTAGGGATAGGGACCTACCTGTGCACGAATTTCGTATACCAGGCCTCTAATACATACACACACACACACACACACACACACACACACACACACACGTATATATGTATATATGAAAGGCTAATATGCTAAGTGTCCCTCCTACCATCTGACCGATCACTATTACGTGCACTGACCACCAGGGGGCAGAAGCTCAATGCAGAAACTGCCGAGCTGCAGTGATTTGGCGGCAGCAGTTCTCGGGTGACACATCCTGAAACCAGAGAGGAGGGAGCACGATTCCTAGAGGGGCCCTTTGACTGTGGGTTATGTTGCTGCTGGGGCACTGTCAGCCCAAAATCTGCTTTACTGCACACTTGCATTTGTGTTCCACACCCTATACAGTAACTTTGCAGAGTGCCCTCTTGCACTCCGGGACCCCTCAGGGGATGTCAGAGAGCTGGTTTTGGTCCAATCCTTGCAGGCTCACTCCACAGATGCCTTTCAGGTGCTGCCCGCTGGGTAGGGACCACATGAGGTTGGTTCCAGGGTGTGTCCAGCCCATCTCACCCAGTCCCACCTTCCAGCCATGTTCTGGTTAATTTCTTTTAAATGTGCACGAATCTGTGCATTGGGTCACTAGCATATAGATCTATATATAACTGCTTGTCATGATGAATTTAATTATATAGTAAGACTTAAGTATTTGGACTGCCTACATAATTTTTTTAAAAAGGCACAAAATCTTTGAAATGAACTTATATTTTCTTTGAACTTAATTGTTTAAAAGTTTGTTTCCAGGCTAGGCAAATTTAGATTAGTTAGTTTTTTTAAAAAGCTTTTTTAAAAAATGGTGAAGGATGAGATTTTCTTGCCATTGCTATCTGCAGTGGAAAGCAAAGGGCTTTGAATAGGCCAGGACTTGATGTAGGTCAGCAATTTTCCACCTTTTCTTCTCATTGGCACACATAAACTAATGACTAAAATTCTGCAGCACCAAAATATATTTTTGGTGATCTGACAAAAAATTAGGTATAATTCAGTCACACTTGATGGCTATTGTGTTGGTTATTGTCAATTTTTAATTTGACAATATAAGGGAAAAGAGGTCAGTGCCCCTGATGAAGTAGTCAGGTATTGCATGTTTTAAAAATTCTTATAGCATGCTGGTTGAAAATAGCTGATGTAGGTAAATGTCAGGATATTTGTTACTTATTTCTTTGTGTTTATTTTATAGTTCAGTTTTAATTGTGTTTCGTCTTAGTTACAATTTTAAACTCTTATCAAATATCAAATATCTTATGATATGAGGTTTCCCATACTTAGTTTTGTTTATCCTTCCTTTCTCTTCCTTCTTTCCTTCCTTCCCTCTCTCTCTTCTCCCTCCCTCCTTCCCTCCTTTGGAGATTTTTAAAAAGTTTTGTTTTAGAGAAAGAGGAAAGGGGTGGGAAGAGAGAGGAATGGAGGGAGGGGGAGAGATAGATAGATAGATAGATAGAGATAAGAGCAAAACATTGATGGGCTACTTCCTGCACTTTCCTTACCTGGGAATCGAATTGGCAACCTTTTGGTGAACAGGATGATACTCAACCAACTGAGCCACATCAGCCAGGGTCCATCTAGAATTTTACTTCAGATATGGATTTTACTAGAAGTAGTAAATATTCATCATGATTAATTGTGTTGACTTATTGATTAGAGGTTCATATGTAGTTCATTGCCTTGTGTAACTGGTGTTAAGTGCTCTTTATGTCCAGGGCACATTACTAAGTACTATAAAGGTGAGCAGATTAATATGTGCACAAATAACTCAGTCTATAGATTGCCTGATATTTTGTCCTTTTCAACTTTGAGGATGCAAAAAGTACATTTAGATAGATGGTTAAGAAAACATTTTGTTTGTTTCTTTTTTTATTAGGACTTATTAGGAGTATTAAAAAGCTATGAAAAGCTTCTGATATGTAGCAATACTATGTAGAGCATTGTTTTATTTGGGTATTCTTATGGTAGTAGTTTTCCTTGAACATTTTTATTACCAATTTTTCTACAC